CACTTTCAGGAAAAGTCACAGACTGGAAGACTTTAATATTTTATTGAAAAAAAGTTACACACAATAAAAAACAGCTCTGGGTCAAATTGACCCGATTGGCGGTTCTAGTGTTAAAGCACCAATTTAAAGAGCTCTTAGTATTGTTATATGAAACAGAATAACAAATAACATGCTCATTGTTTATTCGTTATGATTCATTGCCAGGAAACCCTGAGGATCCTGAGGCAGATCGAGAGCAAAAGACAACGGCAAAACTGGAAAATCCAGCTGCAGGAAGCCACACCTGGCGCCGAAGTCAAGGCGGATGATTCGGAGACGGAAGAACAATCTGTTACGAAATCAAAACGAGAATCTTTTGTGGACGAGCTGACTCAGAAACTCATTATCCCGCGTGCAGTAAACGGGTTGTTGGCGTCTAAAGAGGCGGACGATGATGAGGCCTCTTCCGAGCCTCTCAGATCTTTTCTGCACTCTCAGCCCAAAGACAATAAAAGTAAACTTGTAAATAAGGGCGTTGCTAGTTGGCAAAAGACAGTCAAAGAACATGAATGGATAGAAATGGGAGTGAAACGAGAACAGGTCCAGATCCACACTAAAGACCAGGACAGAATAAGTGAATCTACAATGACAACGGGGCAAAGGACGATCTGGTACTCTGCACCAAATCTGGATAATTTCAATCACATCGCTGCAACACAACCATCGAGATTCAACCCAAATGGACCACATGTCATCTCATATCCAGATGTTGACTACCCAATGGACAAAGAAAGTACTTTACAACCTCCTAACCAACCAGGGATATCCAAGAGGGAGCCTGAGGTTTTAAGACTACCAGGAGAGGGAGACATATCAACAAGGAGAGACTCAGATTCCCAGTCTGTGAACCAGGACTCCAGGTGGAGTTCCTCCAGCCAGTCTGCAGACGTGGAGACACCTAAACAGGCTTGGGGTTTCTCCAAAGTTTTAAAATCCCCCGGGTTACGCAGGAGGAGGCCGATCGCTATCACTCACACCCCCTCTACTCCGACGCCTGGGCAGAAAAACAGCAAGTTTTTCTCCGATTCAAGCGCCACCCTGAAGAGAAGCTCTCACCCTTCTTCCTCTGATTCACACCTTGTGCTAAAGCTTGGCTCCCTGAAGCCCAATGAAGGCATGTTCTGGAGCATGTATGATAGAGTCTCTCCAGACCCCCAAACACTGTCTGAATCCGAGCTCCCCGATCACAACGTCCATAAACGAGTGAAAACCCAAAGGAGTGCGTCCATTCCCAACATCATCATCGAAGGAGGACACGGACTTCCCAGCAGTCTGTACTCCCAAATAGAGGATGTGCCTTTGAGAGAAAATCCAAACGGTCATCCATCGTCTCTGGAGGACCTTTTGATGAGAGCCAAAGAGCGAGATGGATTAAAGAGAACCAGGCATGTGCAAAAGAGTAATTCCAGAGCAAAGTATCTTCCTCCTTCCTCCTCGGTTTCTACGACGCCGTCGCCATCACCCGCTCCCAGTGACGGAGACAGAGAGTCAGAGATGGAGGAGGAGGTGGAGCTGATGAGACACCGAGCGAGGACCGTCAGTAAAGGCTGGAAGGAGCAGCTGGTGGACGGAGAAGAAGACGACAAGACTAACAGGTGAGTTTGACAAAGAGTCATTCAGATAACCTCATCAATCCACAGAGGGGGAAACAAAGGAGACACACTTCCAATAAAATACCTTCTATCAAAGGTCAACATGTCAAACAAATGATGCATTTACTTCAAGAACAATTTAATCCAATCCAACTTTGTTTATATAGCACATGTAAAAACAACAGAGTTGACCAAAGTGCTGTACCTCAAAAAGCAGCATAAATACATTTAGACAAAACCGATAGGACAAAAAGAAACAAATGTAAAAGCATGAGATAATAAAACCATACGTATAGCCACAGACTGAAAACCCTCATACATGATGTAAAAACATTTTCAAACTCAACAAAATAGAAAACCCCAATTTAGAAAGCACAGACACACACTTAATAGTCAATAACTCTCAAATACATGTGTAAAAGTATGTCAGAAAAGCCTCCACAACCAAAGAAGAAATGCAAATATTCTTTTTTCTTTCTTTAGCCTTTATTTAACCAGGTGAAGAATCCCATTGAGATCAACGATCTCTTTTTCAAGGGAGACCTGCAGTACATTGGTTACACATACAAACAACAGAAAACAAAAAGGACAAAACAACATAATTACAGGGGTATAAATTAGCAACCTATTCACAATGACAGGTATCTAATAACATTTCATCCAGCCGTGCTTTAAAATGATGCAAGGGAACCAAAATGCTCAGTTTCAATTTTTTTTTGCATAGTGTTCCAAGCTAGAGGAGCAGCGCACATAAAAGCTTTAGTACCTAAAACAGTCCTAGCACTTGGCACATGTAATAAAAACACATCCTGGGATCTCAGGCAATAGCTACTTGCCACTCTCTGTGAGATCAAAGAGCATACAGTATATAAGTTGGGAGTTTACCCAACATAGCTTTATAGATGAATATGTACCAATGACTGAGCCTCCGAACAGTTAGTGAAGGCAGACCTGCCTTGGCATACAGGGTACAGTGATGAGTAAGTGCTTTACAGTTCGTAACAAATCTCAGAGCACTGTGATAGGCGGCATCTAACCTTTCCAGGCAATGGGCAGGTGCATTCATATATATCAAATCACCATAGTCCAGCACAGGTAAAAAGGTCACAGTGACTAGCCTTTTCCTGGCTTCAAAAGAGAAACAGGACTTGTTTCTAAAAAAGAAACCTAATCTAACCCTCAGCTTTTTAAGCAGATTAATGACCTGAAGTTTAAAAGTAAGACAATCATCAAGCCAGATACCAAGGTATTTATAACAGGCAACCACTTGGAGTACTTGTCCTTGCATAGTCACAATATCCAAAGCAGTCTCTGGAGTCTTTTTAGCTTTTGAAAAGAGCATTACCTTGGTTTTCTCAACATTTAAAAGAAGCTTTAGTTCAGAGAGCTGAGTCTGAATAATGTTAAAAACAGCCTGTAATTTAACAACCGCCTCCTTAATGGAGGGACCTGCACAGTACATCACGGTATCATCCGCATAAAAATGTAAAGTAGCTTCATCCACATTTTCACCTAAACTATTGATGTAGATGGAGAATAAAAGTGGACCTAAAACAGAACCTTGAGGAACACCATTAGCAATGTTCAACCACTCAGAAGACAGCCCATCAAAGTGAACACATTGGGACCTTTCAGAGAGGTAGTTCACAAACCACCCCACTGCATGGCTGGATATGCCAATACTGAGTAGCCTCTGCTTTAAGATGCGATGATCGACGGTATCAAAAGCTTTGGATAAATATATATCAATATCAAATCAATCGTAAAATGTACATGTTAGTGAAGAGTTGCATTATTATATTTTCTAAATTATAACTTTAGCTGAGATGAATGCAACCACATGGTTAGTTTTACCAAGCGTCATTTTGAATAACGTTAATCCGCAAAGGGGAAAACCAATGAGACACAACATTTGAATAACGTTTTTCTAATGCAAACACATTTCCGAGAGATAAAATGGGCTCCGTTATGTTCATGTTCATCTTGATAAGGTTTATTAATGTATCTCTAGCTGTGAAAGAGTGGATACTTTGACACTAAAGTAATTTAAATTGTGCATTGCTTACATCAGAAACTCAACAAGACACTCTCCTTGCTACGCTCAATTTTAACCTATTTCTTAAATTATTACTATTTTAATTATTTATGCTAAACACAATTTTGAAATAGCAAATATTCAAGCTCTATTTTGATGATTGTTCATATTTTCCCATGAAAAGTAGGCCTAACCCTAAACACCATGCATCATGTAAGGGATAATGTGCAGCGACGCGGTCATTATGGGGAAAAGAACACCCGACAGGCTGATCAGGAGCCCGACGCGAAGCCAAACTGTATACAGTTAAATCGACCGAACTTCTTTCTGCAGATGTAAGCGTCCTTAACAACGTCAATAAGTCCTTGACAGCGGTCGGTCTGTTCTGGATTAACAATGTATCACGTGTTCTGAATTGACCAATCAGAATCGAGTATTCAACTAAGCCATGTAATAAGTATTAATACTTGTAATATGTATGGTGGTTCATACCTTATGACCCGATTGAAAGGCTACTTAAATAGCATGTAGTTCATGTACATTTTAGTATAACATTTCAATGCATTATCCAATGTACGTCTGAGTGGCAGTTCTGTGAGCATGTGCCTAATGCAGACAGAGGGAAAGTAATGCACAGTAAAAGATATAAGATAAAAATAATCTTGACTTCATCCCTCCCTCTTTAGTGTCATCTTTCCAGACGGAGTGAATGTGGACTGGTCCGGCTGGTGCTTCGATGATGATGAAGTCATGGATCATTTACACCCTGAAGGCGAGGGCTTTCTGGAGGGAATCAGCCGGTCGCTGGCCACGCTGGATATCCACGGATTTGTAGTGCAAGAAGACGGGGAGTGTAGTCAGGTGTAGCGCTAAGAATCTAGACTTTTTCTTTTAAGCACTTAAAATATGGATCCATATGTTGGGCAAACTACTTGCTGTCTGTTGACACAAAGGTCTTCAGTCTGTAGTGTAACATATTCTGTAATTAATGTAAAATAATCTAATATATTTTATATACTTTTTATAACCCACATGTCACCAGTGTTTTGTGTAAATATAATGAAACATTATTTTTTATAAATATATTATTTATATCAGGGATAAAGTCCCCTTTTTCGTTGACCTTTCAGATTATTTATAATATAACAAATAAACCAGCTTTTCTGTTAAATAACTTTTATTTGTAGAACATTCTTTTCTCAATATGCATACATGGAAACAACAGGATACATTTAAAATCAACAAAAATACTGCTACGTCGTCTGCTCTGAAAATACTGTATTTACAAAACTTGTGCAAACTAAAATCTCCCAACATGTTGCAGACATGAAGACAGATCTCAGGTCAGTTTCTGTGTCTTCCTCCGCTTCAAGGTGTCTTCACTTCTTCTCTTGGTTTCTTTCTCTCTCCTCCCGCTCATTAGAGTTGGTGTGAACAATTGTCTCCAGCGCAGGAAACTGAAAGATCCTTTTCCTCTGTGGAAAAAACATGTTCAAAAATATTAAATCTGATGTATGAATGCACACGTAAATGCATCTCAATTACAACAAGCCATAGACACTTTGCATTAAGTTAACAATACTTATTTCCAGTATAATAGTATGTTGTAGGGCTGTGCGATTATGGCAAAAATCATAATCACGATTATTTGGGTCAATAATTGATATCACGATTATTAAATACGATTATTTATTGACTTTGAAAACATCCATTTATTGAACTTTAAAACAAATACAAATAATAATTTGAACAGTATCTTTTTAACTGTTGATTACCCTGAACGTATAATTCAACTGAAAAACCAATACAAAAATAAATTAAATGATACATTTATATTTACATTTAAATAAATAATATCAAAATAATAAATACCAATAAACAAGATCAACAAATATTTTGGAGCGCACTTCAACAAGCTACTAAACATATATAAATATGATAAATACAAATAAATTAGACCAAAATTAATTAGATCAAATATGTTGCACTGTCACAACCTAGCAAAGCAAAATAATTGTTTTTTCCGATTATGTTGTTTTCGTAATTGTGGCAGGCCAAAATCGTAATTGCGATTAAAATACGATTAATTGCACAGCCCTAGTATGTTGTCTCTAAAGTAAAGTAAGTCAATCAGGTGCTTCAATATAACTCATGCAAAACATTATCTGGAATCAATCAATGATGTGACTTATCTCGAAACACTGACAGTCATTTTAAGATGTCGCGTCTTTAATGGAACAATAAAATATGAGTAAGGGATTTGGAAACTGCTGTGCTGTGCAGATATTTACCCGTTGGTGGTTCTTGTACACCTGAGCCAGGATCAGCAGCAGAACAAGGAGCAGGAAGCCGAGGCCGACCACAGCAGCCGTGTTCTGTGAGGACCCCGGAGATGTATGTCCACTCAGAGCGCCTGCGGGGAAAAATAATATAAAAGTGGTCAGACGTCAGGATCAGAAATAATTTGTTTATCCCTGGGGGGAAAGTTGGTTTCATAACAGTTAGGTGTTCTTTTGCATGAGCATTTAACCAGTGTTTAGGTATAGTTAAAGTATATTATGATACACATAAATAGAAATGAACTTACTCATCGTGTGGATGTGGTATGTCACATTTCCCAGAATGCCGTGTTTCCCGTAGAACAGGCAGGCCCATTCCCCCTGGCTCTCCTCGGACATGGTGTTTATACTCAGAGAGATTCCCTTCTGAACGGACTGAACCGATTGGCTGCCGTTGAGGTCAGAGATCAATTGAACCCACTCGTAGTCGGTGACCTCGCTGCTGTCCGTCAGATCGCAGGTCAGCGTCACAGAGGTCTTTGTCGGGGGGCTGCTGATGACTGAGAGGAAAACAAGATGGTTACATGCAATGCTAAAATCATTATGAGGTCAGAAAGCCTACAGTGAATAAATGAAATGGGTCTTGGCTCTGCGAAGTATTTATATTCTCTAAATGAGATGTAATATAATTTAATATACATGTTAATGAATTGTTGATTGAATTGTTGATTGGAAAAGATACTGAATGCATGTTAACTCACTTTTAGCAACAACTAGCTGCATATTTCGGGTCAGCTGTTGTCCGTCCAGAGTACCAGAGCATCTGTAGCGACCCTCATCCCCAACCTCAACTTCTGTCAGACTGGCAGATTTATCGCTGAGAGGCTGAGAAGAGGACGAGGACGGAGAGAAAGAAGCAGGAAGGCGACCGGGGGAAGGTTTGAAAATAAATCCAGGTTTCAGTTTCTCCCAGACCGGATCAGAGGGGGTCAGACCGGAGGAGAAAACACAGGGGAGAGAGACTGCAGACCCCACTGCAGCGTACAGTTTAGTGCCGTCTGTGGATGGGTGGATGATTCCTGTGAGAGTGAAAAAAGGAGAAGTTAGGAGAAACATTTAGATAAGCTAAACATATAAGAGATAATTTATTTCATTTTTTAATTAATTAATTTTTAATCTGACATTTTATCTTAAATCATTTTTACATTTTTTACATTTAATTTTTTTTTAATTTGTATTGTTTTATTTAATTTGTGTTTATTATTCTAATTTCAAGAGTGATAAGATAACACAATAAAAACACCTATAATTAACACCAAAATATAGTTAAACCACAAACAAATACAGCAAATGACGAACAATAATTAATAATTCATGGCATTTATTTGAGCGCTTTTCCAAGTGCTTTACATCACATGATATTACATATATCACACATGTAATACATCAATACTGTGGACGCAGCGGCATGATGACAGTGGTGCAGAATGTGCATGCGTTCATAATAAGTGTCTAATTCTAGAAAAACAATGTATGCATTTAGAGGTATATCTATTCCAAACACTTTGTTAATCTTGCTTTGATTAAAGGTCACCTATCATGCTATTTGTAGGCAATAGCATAGGTCTCAGATATATAAAGATATATAAAAAACATGTCTATGAAGTGTTTTTCTCAAAATACCAAACAGATCATCCATTCTAGCCATGCCTCATATCCCTCTATTTCACTTCCTGTTTCAAAAGTGCTGATTTGGGGAATAAAGCTTTAAAAATAAAGAATTGATAAAAAAATAAAAAAGGAGGGGGCTGAGCTCAAGCGGGACCCGGCAGCTACTGTCTAAACTAAATACTGCCGTGATGAAACGCCATATCACGGATTATCAAGGATTATTTCTGAAACAGTATGGAGCTCAAAGGCTTTCTCTCTTGCCGGTTATACCACAAGGTGAGTTCCTTTTTATTTCCTGCTTCTTCACACACATGCTCTCCAGTACAGGTTAGCTCTGAGTGTTAGCGATGCTAATGTAAACACCGACCATATTACGTCCAAAACAGTCGGGCATTGTTTCTGATAGCAACTTTCTGATAGGGCCGTGGGTCCACATTTCAGATATTACGTCATATCGGACGCAAATCTGGATCAGCTCCGTTGTAGCCCCGTTTTTAGAGATTTGGGTACGGAGGAAAAGAGAGAGGGTTTTATTTTCTGACGCTGCGTGAGTTCCCCGACACACCGGGGACACATATTTATGTATAAAAGACATCAAAAAGTGCATTTTGCATGATAGGTCCCCTTTAAGGGCTCAACCACATAAAATGACAAGATGTACCCCAGCTATTTTTTTATTTTGAGCGTAACTAAGAGCACACACTATCATACTTGCATTGATTAGCTTGGGTTACATGTAGTCTGTAAAATTATTAGGTCTTATGGGATATGTTACTCACCCTTCACATTCAGAGCTGCAGACGCTCTCCCCTCTCTCCCCCTGAAGCCCACCACACAGGTCCAGATTCCCGTCAGTCTCACAGTCGCCTTTTCCCTCACAACACGTTGATCTGTGTCTGATCCAGACTGAGGATCAAAGGTTCTGTCGTTCAGCGTCCACTGCAGAGAGGCTCCTCGAGGCCAAGGGGTCACATCACAGCTGATCGAGGCATCGCTCCCCCAGAGGGGCATCGGGGAGGAGAGGGACACTGTGGAGGAAACACGAGATTAATGACATGTTTCAAAGCTAGTTTTAGCTTGTATTATATTATCTGACATTACATTTCATTAGATGTACTTACTTGATTGAAATTGTAAAAAGTATTTAGTCATTTTGTTACAGAAGCACCAAGTTAACAAGGCATTGCACATGAGTAAGTCAAATAAACAGTAACTATATACTTGGATGTCTAACACTATCTTTTAAATTATTAGTAGCGGCTAAGTTCTTCATCATTACTATGAGTCTCAGCATGCTCAACGCATCCGTCTATTTGTCTGAAGTTAAGTCTTCAGCGCTGATTCAAGAAATTAAGGATAAACAAATTAAGGTAACGACAAACGATAAACGTTATTTAAGCAGTGGTGGAAGAAGTACTCAGATGCTAAGTAAAAGTAGCAATACTAAATTGTAAAAACACTTATCAGTAATGTACCTGCATTTAAAATCTTAGCCAAGGAAAAGTACAAAAGTATTGGCATTAAAATATACACAGCAGGTAAAGCTGTTAATTAGCAATTAATTTAAGCTGGCACAAAAAGTACAATACTGGTTTCCAAAATGTAGTATAAGTTTAACAATGCAATTAAAACACCCCTCAAAGTGATGGGCCTGTATACCACCATGTACTTTAAACTGTGTATGTTTCTTACCTTTAATGACTCTCAGCATGATCAATCTTTCAGTGATCAGGTCTCCGTGCATCACCCTGCAGGAGTACCCCCCCCCGTCCTCCGTCCTCACGTTATTGATCTGCAGGCTGAAGTCTTTTCTCTCGAAGCGGGAGTGAGGACACTGAACGCGTCTGACGCCGTTAGAGGTCCAGCTGGAGCCCCAGTACTGCAGACCGCTCCTGTCTTTTCTCCACACTGTGCTGCGGACAGAAGGGGTCACAAATCAATTATTTTATTTAAAAATGTAATATTAGTGCAGGAATAGATTGTCAGGGCTGCTGTGAAGAATGATCTGTAACATGGATATACAAATGGGATATAATGAACAAGAATGTCATGTTTTTCTTGTATTTTTAAGATTATATATTGTCCTTTAAGGTTGAAGAGAGCTGTTAATAGATCCAGGGGCTTATAATATTTTTGTTTGGTGAGTACATTTTTTTTGGCTATTTGTTAACTCTGAGGTCAAAGCCCTTAGTGGGTTTTTTGTTGTTGTATAAATGCTATTAAAACGTGAACCCTGTGCTGCACAATCAAGTTATATACATGCTTTTTTTCACAACAAGCTAAGCTATCAGCATATTTAGGCTACAGGGATGTCACATGGATGTACAAATAGTTATGAGAACATACAAAAGACAAAACAAGACGAAGATGTTATCACCCAGAAAAGTATTCAAAACCAAAAGGACTCAAATCATCATGGCCGCTTTCTTTTGTAATAAAAAAGACCCATAATATTCACTCTGTGCATCACTATATAGAGAATCTATCGCGGGTAACGGGAAAAAATACTTACCAACAATAATAACAATAAAAAAGTGTATCTGTAACCTGTACTGTAAAGCATCCTCCCACCCGACTTCTACTGTTTTTATTTTATTTTGTTAGTTGTATTGCGGTTATTTCTCGTTATGTCTTTATTGGGAAATATATACTCAAATCTAAATGAAAAATATAGTGCTATGAGGAGGAATGTTTGGAGATGGAGTGTTATTTTGAGAGAGGAGAGATCGCATAAACGAGATGGAGATGGAGAGAGCATCAGCATACAGGAGGGAAAATGGAGGGATTTGTGGGAGTTTGGAGCGATGAAGCAAAGAGGGTAAAAGGATGAAGGAGAAAGCACACATGAAGTTGTCTTACCCTTTGTTGGCTTTAGTCCAGATTATCTCTGGAATAACGCTGGATGAAGGGCTTCCTTTACAGGGTAACACAGCCTGAGAGCCTGCTTCAACAAACACCTCCGTTTCCTCACACTCCACCCCTGAGGAAGAAAGAAGAAAATAAAGAAAATGTGCCAAATAAAAATGAACATCTCACATATAATTGAAGACAAATGATATACACACAGGGGGGTTAAAAAACAACAACATATATTTACCTGTCAGAAGAAAGGTTATCAGCCCAAAGAGGAAATACTCCAACGGCATCTTTATGTTTTAATTGTTTGATATAATGTCACTGTAATCTCTGTCTTTCACTCTGTTTCCACTTCCTCCTCTGTCTTCGATGTGCTCTCTGATGTGCTTTCTGATGTGTTTTCTGATCTGATGAGGTTTTTATATGAGCGCGTGGGGGTTTGGTAGCTCTTCCGATGATCACGTGACTTCAGCTTCACGCCACACTTTGATGTGGTGTGTGTGTGTCAGCATGGAACGTTTCAGACAGAGAAGTAAACAGGGAGACCCACGGATTCCCCTCTACTCTCTCTCTGTGTTTCCTTCTTCACAAAACATACATGTGTGAAACAATATCTAACGTTACTCAAAAGCTCACAGGAACAAGATGTAAACAAGGTAGAAATCCTCTCTCTGGGCAGAGTTTGATACCCTATTTTCTTGAAATTGAATATGTATTACTCTCAACACCTTACCTTTAGTAGGGAGACCAGGGACAGTTGTAACACTTTTTGGGTTTTCGCGAATAAGTAAAAAAACATTTACACTAGGATAGCCATTTTGCTATATTATACATTTTTAATGTGTCAACTACTGAAACAATGTATTTAAGATGTTTCTATTAAATAAGTACAGGTTTTTTTTTCTCAACTCAACTGTTACAACCGTCCCTGTGTACAGGGACAGTTGTAACATGTTAATAACGGTTACCTTTTTTCACACTACATGACAAAAAAGAGGGAAAGCTGTCAAATTCTAAGGCAACAAGATTGTAATGGGGTTTCACACATCCTCCAATGAACAATGACCAGAACCTAAAACAGAACACCAGATGGAATTAATCTGATTCACAGTTGTGGCGGGTGTAAAAGTCACTTCCATCACCTTAATTATGTAGACCTACCTCCTTTGAGCGGAGACCATAGTATAAATCAGCTGCCTTCATCAGGTAGTCTCTCAAAAGCATCTCTTGCTCTGTTGAGAACACCTTCTTGGGTGTCCAGTAGCCTACTCTTTGGGGTGATTTTGATCCCTGACTCTCCAACCTCAGCCTCTTTTTATGGAACCGGTACAGGGTGACATGGCATATATCATGGGACTTTGCCACTGCCCTGACTGATTTGCCCTCCTGAACTTCATTTGAGGCCCTCTGCAGCAGAGGAAGTGGCACTCCCCTGTCTGTCTTCCCCTTTCTGATATTTGGCATACTGTAAACACACGCACAACAATATTGATCATTGGAGCAAATGAGCCATCATTGTAAATGTGCCATGTTACAACCGTCCCAGGTGGTCCGTGTTACAACCGTCCCTGGTGGTCCGTGTTACAACCGTCCCTGGTGGTCCGTGTTACAACCGTCCCTGGTGGTCCGTGTTACAACCGTCCCAGGTGGTCCGTGTTACAACCGTCCCAGGTGGTCCGTGTTACAACCGTCCCTGGTGGTCCGTGTTACAACCGTCCCTGGTGGTCCGTGTTACAACCGTCCCAGGACCACCAGTCATGTTTTCACCCCCTGTGAACCTGCCTGATTGCTAGCTTGGCCCATATTTAGCTAGTTATATGTTTAGCTTACAAAACAGTGATTACAATAATACTAGTTTCGATTCCTAGACATTTGACCTCAAGACAGTATCCAAAAAATACATCATAACATTTTTGTTAATGTTTTACCTCAGAAACACACTTTTGCTGATATCTTTCGCGACAGATTTAAACGTGGCTCTTTTTTTTTCACAGCAATCTTTCCATCTAACTGAGCATGTGCAGAGTGAGTTTCATCACTCTAGCTTGTTTGTGATTGGAGATATTGAAGGCGTTACAACTGTCCCGTGTTACAACTGTCCCTGGTCTCCCTACATATGTCACTAAGTTCTGAAGTTCATCTTTTTAGCCTTGTATGTGTACTACCTACTTGTCTTTATTTGTATTTTAATATAACTAACGTGTGCTTTCTTCTATATATGAATATGTTCGCTTATTGTGTATTATTGCATGTCTTTTTTACCTGCTACGCCACTTTTGCGTCTACGCCACTTGTGCTGTAACAATGTACATATCCCCGCTGTGGGACTAATAAAGGATTTCTGATTCTGATGTATGAAAGCGCAGGATAGATAAATATAGAAGTTAAGGTCATTTCAGATTTGTGTTAAGAAGTAGACGTGTGTTATAATTCTTGAGGATTTGTTTAATGGTTAATTACATGTTTGGCTGGTTGATCATCATAATCACACTGGTACATGATTGTTAATCACATTGAGATGAGTTGTTTTGTTTGTTAAGTTTGTTGCACTTACTATGAGCTTGATTGGAGTGAATATATTTGCACTTTCCTTGTTGTTTGGAGTTTGAATCTTTATGGTTTTTGCACTTATTGTAAGTTGCTTTGGATAAAAGCGTCAGCTAAATGATATGTAATGTAAATGTTATGTTATGTGGATAGTGTGTAAATGTGTGTCTGACTGTATGTGTGTTAACCCCACAAAGAATAGCTAATGCTCATGGGGATCCTGATCAAATAAAGACACAATGCACAAGCACTGATCATGCACAGTAGTATCTACACACTGTATTTGTACTTCAAAACAAAGTTTGTTTTTAGAAATGGTCCTCTGCTCTGTAGGCTAATTTACATTATTCTCCACACACTGCACTAAATCACCTTCGTGTCATTTTATCATAAAGACATTTTAAAAGAGCTGAAAATAAACCTTTGGGTAACACTGGCTCATTTACAGTGATGTGGATAAATGTGCAAGGCCTATGGAAATAAATACATGTAAAACGTAAAAAAAAAGGCCTTAAAAGTCATAGCATACATAGCACAATATGTTGGTTAAAAGTCATAAATAAATAACTGTTATGGTTAAGTTGGCTAAAATGGCTATAGAATGGAATAAATAAAGTATATTAAAAGTCATAGTATAGCATGTCGTGAAAAATGTGTAGAAAAAGTCATGTAAGATTTCGTGGCATAATATGTGATTACAAATTCCAAAAAAGGTAATAGTATAGTATGCAGTAAAACATAGTGAAAAATGTTATCTTTTCTGGAAAACTATACCTTTAATATCTAATGAAAAGGTAATTATGTAAGCCACAGTATTATCTACAGTAAAACTATATTTGTGCTCCATAATATTGTGTTTATATGACCGCATCTTCACTAAACGAGCTGTAGGCTTCTTTACAGTAAATCTCCAAACTGCGCTGAATGTTTCTTGTTTACAAATCCCTTCAGTTTCATTCACGGAAGCTCGAGTTGTTGCTCTGAAACCGAAATGACAAAACACCAACCACTGCCACTGCTCCACCGTCACTGCCAGTCATCTGCGTTACAACCGATGCTTAACGGACTCTCATCATCATCATCATCATCCTCACCATCACAATCGCAATCCAGAAACCTGGTGTCTTCTTCTGAAGGATTTTCATGAAAGTGATTCATCACCTCCATTCTTTTTTCCCCTTCTCGTCAGTTCTGATATTGCTGTAATAGAAACAGGCCGACACTGCCATTCAAATGATTGTAAGATAGCCTATATACGATCAGCATACTTTACTAAATGTCGTTTAAGATTAGAAAATAAACATTAAAGTTAATGGAGTAATGTCTGTTTAACAACTGGTGCTCTGATTGTGTTTAAAATACTTGTTTGATAACTTTTTTAATCCTGATTAGGAACACTTAACTTTAAGGTTAGGGTTATCCTTACATTTAGCTTTTATACGCTTTCATAAACTAATGGAAATTAACATTTTCTTTATTGTATTTGTCAACAATTACAATATAGCGCAACCCATTTGTGATAATATAAAATATTTCTATAGTTGTTGATCATTAACGTTTATTAAAGTGTCCTTAAAGTAGGCTATTTCTGTTTCTATACATTAAAGATTGCTGTAATACATTATTACATGTTACTTATTAGACGCTTTTATCCAAAGCGACTTACATACAATTTGAGGTGAAGTGTCTCAGGGACACAACGACATGCTGACTGCAGTGGGGTTTGAACCTGTGACCCCCTGACCCGAACACATACGCACAACCCACTGCGCCACACACCTCCTAATACATTTTTAATACTGAAATGATCAATCTGTACATACATTACATCATTTTACATAACTCTGTGTGTACATGAAGCTACTGCTTTTATCTTTTCAATACTTAACCATGCAATTTCAGGAAAAAAAGCATCTAATAAAACAATCCTTCGATCAATAAACAGTATCTGACAACTGTTTATAACATGCAGAACCTGATTATAGTCCTATTTTTATCTCAATTTCTAAGTGAGATTGTGTCTCTCTGTCTTCTTTATTTCTTTCTAATCTATACTACATATATAACATTTAACCCTTATGTTGTGTTGGGGTCTCCCGTGACCCGTTTCAAGTTAAAATTATATAATAACTACCCTCTAGGTTTTTTTTTATCGGAGCAAGGCTTCATGATATCCTCCACAACAGCTATACAAACACTACAAAACAGATTTTGACCATTTTAGCCAAGTCTGAAGGTCTCTAAAAAAAAAAGTGTATCATTTGGTGTTGGGGTCTGGGAAGACCCAGCAGAATTGTTTTTGAGTGACTCGAGGTCAAATTTGGCCCAATCAAGATTCATCTTTGACTTTAGACACCCCTCCCCCACCCCCTTCATACACTGTAACAATCATTTGTTCGCAAACATGCACCTGGTCTCCCCTCCCTCTGGCCCCCTCCCCCCACGGGAACACTTGAACCTGAACACACATATGCACGTGTGCAATATGTGGTGTAATGTGTTTTGGGGCCATACAATAAAATTACAACAGGATTGTACGGTTATGAATGCATAATAAGTTAGTTATGATGTAGTTTAAACAATATAGGATGATAGTCATTTTTTGAGTGTTTTGGACTGAGATAAATCATGGGTCAAAATGTACCCGCGAACACCATGAACGGTAACAGCTTTCGAACACAACACAAGGGTTAAATACATTTGCTCATAATGAAGCAGCATTTAAGAATCATGTTAGAATAATAAAGCCTGCCAATTATCAGGTCCGTAACGAGAAGATTTGGGTTTTTGATTTAACAGTAAAATACTTAAATGATAGAGAAAAAAA